GGCCGACGTAAAACACTTACCCTGCTTCTCCTTGAGATCCATTGTTGTGGACTTCTTAGCGAAAGCAAAGTAGCAATAAACAAGAGACACAAAGAGATTTTTTCAGTCAGTGTTATCAGCTAAATTTTAATCACAACAATGTTATGAATGTAGTACCTTGATAAACGAAGCCGCAATGCTGGTTGAATGTGAGATGAATGTCTCGTCTCGAAATCCGATACTCGATACAGTAAGCAAAGAGAGAGAGACAGACAGACAGACAGACAGACAGACAGACAGACAGACAGACAAATAGATAGATAGTTAGATCGCCTTTATTTCAACACGATAAGTTTTAAAGCTAAAAGCACGTGGGGTAGTGTATAAAATAAGTAACGGCGCGTACTCGTACTGTGGGTCTCTCTCTAATTGTTGCTGTATTTGAGAGAATTTCTGTGGAATACACTAAAACGAAGTACCTCCCTATTTGCTACTCAATTTAAGGTAGAAAAGTCCAGTTTCGAGTGATTCGCGACGACTGACAGAAATTGTTTTTGTAGTATAATTTCAAACTTTGCACGGAATTTCACACTGGTAAAACAATTTTGGAGACCTCAACTGGTGAAACACACTGGGGATTTAACCCCCTCCCAGCGCTAAACAGGTGCAAGTACACCAATTTTGCTTCGTTTTTTGTTAAACTTTGCTTATATCCTTGGATTACTGTCTTGATCATTTTAGTTGGAAAAAACTGACAAAATGTAAAAAATTATGACGTCATAATTAATGACGTCAACAACACGTGACATATGACGTTTATAATTTCATACTATAAACCACATCAAATGACAGAGCACGACTAGGAGAACAATGTACTGAACACCGTTTCTCAATATGACAAATATTTTATGAATTATAACAATTTAAATAAATTTCAGTGTCCACCCCGGAACTATACTTTTTACTTAAATTTAACCCTCTTGGTTTACTTTCTTCAGTTTCCATTGAAAAATGCTACGAATTCTTGGTGTACCTAACAATCGTATCGTTTTAGATTTTTTGTTTTTTCCTTTAGAACGATAATTTATTCTCTTAAATAATCGATGACTTAACTTTTTGTGACATCACTCAATAGTTTTTGGTTGTTTATAAACGCATGAATAACTTTAATTTGGATTTTTTTAGCTATACCCGTTCTTTTCATCACAAGCAATCAGCCTGCAATATAAGTGGAGTTGCAAACACGAAAAAGAACTTTCATCTCATTTTATCTCAAGGGGAATCACTGCTTTACTGAATGAGTATTCCTTGAAGTTCAAATTGTCATATCTCCTTTAATATTTCAGATATTAAAAAACGGTTTTCAGTTTTCAGCTTCTCTCATTGCCCTCTTTTGAAAGCGTTAAAACAATGTTGGAATTTCCAAACTTTAAATTAAGAGTATGGTTTGACGTCATCGACAATGACGTCATCATCTGAATTCTTCTGCCACCTTTTTTGTCAAAAAATGTGGACTTGTGTCCTCTATGCACTTGCCAAGTTTGATAATGGTATGTCAAGCTTATTTGAAGTTATGCTTAAATGAGCGCTCAAAGGTGCTTTTATCCCCAGTGTGAAATAAATGCAACTAACATAAAAAAGTTCGAAATATATCTGTTCTTTAATACATCTTTCTTTGTCTAGTATCTGAGTTACTCGCTCGTTCGCTCGTTAGATTTTTTACGAATGGTTTGTCGACGGTACGTAAACGTTGCGAAAACAAAACCCACTTGTAAGCCAATTCATCGCAGGAAAAAAAAGATAAAGATATTATTGGCCGGTTTATGTACGGTCCGTATTGTGAAAAACTGACCTCGGGCTTGAAAATGTTGCCCTCAGCCTGCGGCCTCGGGTTCCGGGGTGCGTGGGAGGGGGTACTCCCAGAAAAATTGGGTGGGGGTGTGCGGCCCGCTTCCCGAAACCCTTACCCTATTTATGACCAAA